TGTTTGCGCTGGCTCGAGACTTCGTCTCTACAACCGTTTGAAAAAATTTGTTAAAAAAAAATCAATAAGGCTATTCACGAAGTTATGGGGCTGGTTAATGGGTTTTCATATCATCATTTGGAATTAGAAGATGGTTTAATTAATATGTATGGAGATGACGGCGTACATTTATATGATATAGGTTTAGATATATTGAATGAGGACCTCTATACTTGTATTGAATTGGCTGCAGTGCGGGTGGTTGTGTTACAGGTGGGTTTTTGTTTTCCTGAGATTTTTGGTTTAGATTTACCAAAAACCAAATAGGAGGTCAGAAGAGAGCCCAATAAGGGACACCACATAGTGTGATACCGTATAAACTGAGTTTATTTAAAGGTGCAACATGAATAGTGAAGATAAAATGCAAATAAATGTAAATGAAACACTGACCAGATAATAGTTAGGATGACCACCTGTGGTGGTAAGACGTCCAGATACTGCAGCCCCCCTGACGCGTTTCGTGCGGTGCACATTATCAAAGGGTCCTGGGCCACTTGCAGAATCTACCTTAAAAGGGGACCCCGGATGGTGACACGCCTGAGACACGCATATGAAATTTGAAGTATATACCCAAGGTGCGATTGGAAGGTGTAGGATTCTATCCCTATCTTGGCAACTGATGATCGCTATCTGATATCACAGGATAAACCTTACATGCGTTTTTTTTTTTTTTTACGCACTTCTGGTGAGTGCGCAATTTTTTTACCTCAGATTCACCCTGTGCTACACAGAATCTTATCCCACGCACCTACTAGGATCTATTGGATCCCCACGTTTGACTTATTTTGGGACTTTTTTCATCTCACTTAACATCACCGCAGTGTGATTTGATATTTGCACTTTAGTGTATATATATATTTTATATGTTATATATGCCATTTACTATTATAGCGCTGCACCTTATATATGGTTTTATATATTTATGTTTATGTACTTTATTGGAAGGTTCTTTCTTGGTTACCTTTTGGTGTTCTAGCCGCTTTGAGATCTCTCCGGATAGCGCTCGCATATTATCTTTTGCAGAAAGTGATGATGTCACTGGGTCCCAAAAGCGGTGTATTTACATTTTAATTTCTTAAATGTTGATTGGGAACAGGGATAGAGGGAACAAGGGAAGGTATGCATACACTGCACTCAAGCTCAATGGTTTTCCTCTTTAAAATCTCAAATAGAAAGCCTAGAAAGTGAGTGTTCTTCTCTACAGCATCACTTTCCTTTACTGTGCACCTTGAATCTATTGGGCATTTTACATGAGACTTTAATTGGGCTTTAAAGCTGAACTCCAGGTATGGATAGTATAGCATAGTTACGTTCATCCACTTTGGACCAATGTACATATATATGCCATACCTGTGGGATCCTTGTGGAAGCTGGAAATCTTTAGTGATCACCTTTGTCTTCCGGGTTCCATTCACAGATCTTCACATTCAAACACTGAAAGATGTTACTTGGTTGCAAAAAAAAAAAAAACAAAAAAACAAACCAAACAACAACATGATTTTGCAGTAGTTTAGGTCTGGATTAAACTCACCCCAGAGAATAACGACTGTCTCCTGCAGGCTGCTGTGATCCACATGACAGGAGTAAGTGTCCGGCTCCCTGATCTGCACATCAGTGCTAACTGTGGTCTGATAGGTGCCATCAGGGTTGGGAAGGATAGGATTGGTCTGATTTCCAATCATTGTATCGATTCCATTCTTTATCCATTTTACAGTCACAGCTTGGGGATAGAATCCATACACCTGACAGTGAAGCTTGGTGACGTCACCCAACTTACGTCCTGAGACCTTTACCATTGGTGGGACTGGAAGAATCGGAGAGAAAAACATTAAAACATTGGCTAAATAGTGTCAGATAGAGTGTGAGTACACAATACAGTATCTACCCGAAGTGAGTCCACCCCTCACATTTTTGTAAATATTTGATTCTATCTTTTCATGTGACAACACTGAAGAAATGACACTTTGCTACAATGTGACGTAGTCAGTGTACAGCTTGTATAACATGTAAATTTGCTGTCCCTATCAAAATAACTCAACACACAGCCATTAATGTCTAAACCGCTGGCAACAAAAGTGAGTACACCCCTAAGGCTGGCCATACAATATACAATTTTCTGGAGAATTTTGCTTTAGATTTACCAAAAAATATATGAGGTTAATCCTAAATGACACTTTCAATTGTATCCAATCAGGCAGGACCTTGCACTACATAGTTGAAAGTAAATCTAAAGGAAATTGGACAGAAAATTGTATAGTGTATGGCCAGCCTTAGTGTCCTAGTGAAAAGGACAAAGAAATAGTAAAGCTTCCCAGTGGGGGCCGCATACAGCAATAATCATTTAGCAGCCTGCTCTATCCAGAACTAAAAGATCATTCACTATAGATATTCTACAAGTGGCAATACTTTGATATGACATCTATTATGTATGTAATGCAGTCACCTGAGCTTTTCATATAAAGTCTCCCAAGTTTGAGGAACGTCTTCAGAGTCTCAATACATTCATTCTCCAGGTATTTCTTGTTCTTGTTTCCTTGACTCTCCTCCGGACTGTTCCATCTCTGTGTAGTGATCTCAGCTGCATACCTGGCCGGGATCCAGATCCCTCTCTGTGTGTCCAGATACATGAAATCTCTGCCATCATATCCGATCTGTTCATACCCCAAGACAGTGCCGTCATCACTCAGCATGCAGCCGTGCATTGACTGGAGGATGTGGATCCCTGTGTACAGCATGGAACATGTTACGTCTTGTACAGGGGTGGACTGACCATTTGGAAACTCGGGCACTGCCCGAGGGCCCGGGGTCAGTAGGGGGCCCCATGAGATGCCCTTAGTACCTTTTTCATAGACTTTTTTGAGTGTGGGCAAGGACACAGGGGCTCCATGATCCCCTATTGCCCGGGGGCCCCAGGAGTTGTCAGTCCGCCCCTGGTCTTGTATGTTTTCTGTGTAAGAGGTTATGATAGGTTTAGCAGGCTGAATAAAATGGGGGTCCCGGTTACAAGGTGTGCCTAAAGTCATTCCCCCCGATCTGATACTTCAGTTAAGGCCGGAAGGAAGACCACTAAATCACCCATTTTACTTCTGTCTTTCTGGTCATCCTGGGTGCTACATCTCCCCAGGTCTACTTCTCCTTTGTGGACTCCCAATACTCCAGCCACATTCTTCACAGGGGAAAAGGGGAGTCAAAAACAGCAGTGTGAGCTTCTATATATATGAATAAAAATATATTAACCAGAGGATTTCCCCCCCTTCCTAACCAGGCCATTTTGGTGATACGGCACTGCGTTACTTTAACCGACAATTGTGCGGTCATGCAACGCTGCACGCAAATTAAATTTACTTCCTTTTTTCCCCATGTATAGAACTTTTTTTTTTTTACGGTGGTAAACAGATCGCCTGTCTGTTTTTTATTTTTTGCGCTATAAACAAAAAAATGGGCCAAAATGTATTCTGCTCCATGTCTTTGCTAAAAAAAAAAAATCCCAATATGTGTAAATTAATTGGTGAAAGTTATAGCGTTTACAAATGGCTGTATATATACACCGGAATTTTTTCTTTTCCTTTTTACTAGTAATGGTGGCAATCAGCAACTTTTAGTGGGGGATTGAGGCGGGCATTTTGACACTGGGGAAACTGACTTGGTGTCACTGTCCCCAGTGACACCAATACAGTGATCAGTGCTAATAAAAAGCACTGACACTGTACTAATGGCACTGAGCAGAAAGGGGTTAACATGTGGGGAGATCAAAGGGTTAACTGTGTGCTGTTTTACTGTGGGCTGTGTGCAGGGGCGGACTGACAACTCATGGGGCCCCCGGGCAATAGGGGATCATGGGGCCCCTGTGTCCTTGCCCAAACTCAAAAAAGCCTATGAAAAAGGTACCAGGGGCATCTCATGGGGCCCCCTACTGACCCCGGGCCCTCAGGCGGTGCCCGAGTTTCCAAATGGTCAGTCCGCCCCTGGCTGTGTGCATGCTTTCCACTATAAGCAACTGCTTTGTATGGCTCTGCTATGCAGAACCATACAAAACAGTGTGCACAAGCTGACAGGGGAGAGATCTGTGTTGTTTATACACAGGTCTCTCCCCCGTTGGTAACACTTGGCGATCACAGGGGAGCGGCGAGGAATCACCGGCCGGGACCTGGTGACTGACAGCCAAGGCCACAAACGGCGGGCACGGGTAGGGCGCGCACGCGCCCCCTACCTGGAACTGCAAAATCACGTATATATATGGGGTTTTGTGCACCCGTGCTGCCCTGTAACAGTATTTCTGCTATAGAGCGATGCAGAAGTGGTTAAAGCAGAACTAAACCTATAGTTTATATCAGCTAAATACATGTCAAGTGCCTCAAAACAAAAAGGTGTTCAAAGTCTTACCTGGATTTCATTAGAAAGCAGCCACAGCCTCGGTAGAAAAGCCTGTCGCCTTGCCAGATGCCATAGAGTGGAACCCTTGCCCTTGGTGTGGAAGCAGTGGTGTCTTTGAAGAGGTCTGACACACGTCCTGCTAAGTCAGATGAGTCCCCTTCAATCAGCAGGAGGCATGAGATTTGCTGATTGGAGAGCTCTAGCTCTTATTCAACCATGTTGGACCTCTGCTGAGAGACCACTGCTTCCACACAGAGACCAATGGTCCCACATTGCTGACAGGGGACAGGCTTTTCTACTAAATATGTGCCTGCATTCCAAAGAAAGCAAATTGTAGATGTAGCACCCTTCTAGTTAGACTGCTAGGTACATTTAGTTTTTGGCTCTTTCTGTAATCAGAGGAGCAGTGATGGTTTAGTCTGGTTTGTTCAGGGCTGCACAGACTAGGAGTTTGATTGCTTCCCTCTGCCTCTAGAAGAATATTCTAGAGCAGTGGTTCTCAACCTGTGGGTCGCGACCCCTTTGGGGGTCGAACGACCCTTTCACAGAGGTCGCCTAAGACCATCGGAAAACACATATTTCTGATGTGTAAAGAGCAGCTACTGTGTAGAAAGCAGCTGCTGTTGAAAGCAGCTACTCTGTTAAAAGCAGCTACTGTGCTGAAAGCAGCAGTGTTGGAGGTAAAACGACACTTCATGAATTATAATTAATGGGTAAACAATTTTATGGCTGGGGGTCACCACAACATGAGGAACTGTATTAAAGGGTCACACGGCATTAGGAAGGTTGAGAACCACTGTTCTAGAGTTTAGGGAGGTAAAATTCAACTGACCAGCCTAAATGTTGAGTGGAGCCTAGCCAATCCCTGGGGAGGTGTGCCCAGATGGTGGCTGGGATGCTGGTAAATTGTCTGGAACCCTAGAGAGATGGCCTTCTTCCCCTGATGATGGAATGGAGCTTCAGAGGGCTGTTTGCCCCGGGGGCTTCTCTGGACTGGTTGCTGGACTACAAGGAACTGAACCTATGGACTCATCCTGCCTCAGGACTTGTGAGTAGAGCTTTTATTTGTGCTACAAGCTAACTTCATGGTCCCCAGCTGTGAAGCTATAGACCAGGGATGTCAAACTGGCAGCCCTCCAGTTACAAAACTACAAGTCCCATCATGCCTCTGCCTTTGGGAGTCATTCTTGTAACTGTCAATCTTGTCAATGCCTCATGGGACTTGTAGTTTAGCAACAGCTGGAGGGCCACCAGTGTGACACTTGTGCTATAGACTGTTCCAGTCTACCACTGCTTGCCTAGCTCCCTTGCTTCAGCTTCTAGAAGAATTTGCTCTTGCTCATAGGAAGTAAATAAAAAAAAACAAGACAAAGGAGACCCGCATTATACCATATTGGGTTTTGAATTACTACATCGTTGGCCTTCAAAAGTGAAAATAAAGCCATAGCTGACCTTCGGTCTGGTTGAATCTGCTCATTGCTATCTGCACATTTTGCTTGAAGATAGGCTCCTGTTTTTGATTCAGAGTTGTGCCTCTGTCCCAATATTCAGGTTCCAGATTCTTCATCCAGTCAACTTTGGAAAGATACTGACGGGTGTCACTGTTATAATTCTCTTCTCTAGGTCATCCAAGTATCCAACCACAGAGTAAACAGGCAGTCCGGATCCCGGAGCAGAGACTCCAGTGATATAATACTTGAGTGAGTGACTTTCTGAGGGATAAAGAGAAGACATTTTATGATGTGAGATAGAAGGCTATAAAATATGACAATATTAAAAACTACAATTTCTTTGTTCACAAATATGGAGAGAAGTTAATGCTATTTAGGCTCTATGCACACTGGCTTAATAAAGCTCCCAGTGGAGTTTAGTGTTTTGCCTGTAGAAGCAACTCATGTTATCCTATGTGTCCATGCACATTAGGTAGTCTTGAGGCATTTTTTGAGCCCAGAGTTTAGAGGGAGAAAAAAAATCTTCTATTTTGTGTTTCTGAGAGCGTTTTTCTGGCAGAATGTTTACATAGGCAAAGCTGTGTTCTGTCATTCTCCTCGCAGATCAGTGGGTGCCGGCGCTCATCCATTGGCTGGCACCTGTTGATCGGCTTCTGTGTGACTAATCACAGCAGAAGCAGCATGTCGGGGGTGAGCGTGTGCCCCTCCCCCACACTAGGAAGTGCAAAATCAGGTTTCCATATGTGATTTTGCACAGAATGGCTGCCTTCTAGCAGTAAATCTGCTATAGGGCAGTCCTAAACTGGTTTATTTATAGCTTTATTATCTTTGGCCGTGAGCAACATAGGTTTTATTTTTTAGCCTTTTAAACTTATTGCTTATGGGAATATATTTTGCAGTGTGTTTGCATACGGTAGTTTTGAAGAATTCCCATTTCTGTTCAGTGTTCATCGATGCCGATATTTCCTCCCAGTCTTAGTCTTGGAGAGCAGCTCTCAGCCTTGAAAAATTTGCTCTCTTAATGTTGAGAGTTTTTATCTTCCCATATGTGCTTGCTGTTTACAGCTAACAATGAATGAAATAATTGTATGGTCACTGCTACTCAGATGTTCTTTTATATGAACATCTTTATATTAGTAATAAGCTCTGCATTGTTTGAGATCACCAGGTCCAGCAGAGCATCATTCCTAGCTGGGGCCTCTATGAACTGTACCATAAAATTGTCCTGTAGTAGGTTTATACATTTTTGCCCTTTAACTGTTCCTGCAGTGCCATTACTCCAGTCAATTTTCGGGTAGTTAAATCCCCCATTATCATCACTGTCCCAGCCCTTGCAGCCCTTTCTATCTGTGCAAGGAACTGAGTCTCCACCTCATTAACACTGGGAGGCCTATAACAAACTCCAGTGATTACCTTACTCACCCCCATGTGCAGTTCCATCCATAATGCTTCAGCCTCATCACACTCTCCATCTACTAGGTCCTCTTTCACACTCGCTCTGAGATCACTTCTCACATATAGACAGACACCGCCACCTTTCCTATTTACTCTGTCTCTCAGAAAGAGAACATAGCCAGGAATATTAATGGCCCAGTCATGTGAAGAATGAAGCCAAGATTCAGCAATACCAATTAAATCATAGTTCTCTTCATGCACCAAGCTTTCAACTCACCTATGTTGCTTGGCAGACTTCTGGCATTGGTGAACGAACACTTTAATTCATTGTCACATTTTGCATGCAAATTTTCCTTTTTTTTATTTTAGTACAAATGGTACTAATTCCAATGGTTGTTTGTAACATGGGAACCTTCTTATCACCTTCCATAGCCCTCCGCCCATCTTTCCCCATTCCACCCACCAATAAGTATTGACCCCTGTCTGATCTGTCTACCCCATTATAATCTAATTCTCCCTCCCCCCTCGATCCTAGTTTAAATACTCCTCCAGCCTCCCCATAAACCTCTCCCCCAGCACAGCAGACCCCTAGGTGCAAACCATCTCTAGTATATAGGTTGCACCCCAATGAAAGGTCAGCCCAGTGCTCTATAACCCCAAATCCTTTCCTCTTACACCAGGCCTTCAGCCATGCATGATTGAGTTCTCTAATTTCCCCCTGTCTTTCCTGAGTTGCGCATGGCACAGGTAATATTTCAGATCACCTTCACCTTCCCTTCAACATGCAGCCTAGTTTTTTAAATTGATTCTTAACCCCTTCCCACCTTCCACACCTCCCTGTCATTAGTTAAGAGATTCTGACGGGTCAAGAGGCTGGGTCGGTGCCCGTGGTTTAGGAATCATGTGACCGCCGTGATGACCCGCGTCACACGGTCACATGCGGGAAACCTGACATCAGGGAGACAGCAAGGACCAGTTTACGGTTGAGGGATCCTGGCAACAAATGTATTTATTCCTGGACGCTAAAAATGCCCTACTACCACCGGCTGTCTAGGCCCCAGCACTACCCCCTCACCACCCCTCCCAGATGGTCTGCCCTCCCGGCTGTCAGGGGTTAGCAGTGACCTCCAGGGGCTTCCACCCCTGTACTTGCCACCCCCACATCTTCACCCAACTTGGCAAATTTGTTTGGGTGCTGAAACCCAGGGCCTCCAGCCTTCCTTTTCTGTGAGCCCCTACCACCACATGCAGTAATTTATCCCACCCCTCCACCCTGAAACCTGACATCAGGGAGACAGCAAACCATTCGGTTGAGGCGATCCTGGCGACACATTATTCTATCAGTCCTTCTGCTTAAGCAGAAAACCCCTTTCAAGGTTGTCGGTTCTGCCCAGTGTTGCAGCTTGCTCCTCCCCCCTCTCTAATGGTCTGACCGAGCTGTCAGGAGGATGAGCATGTCAGAATGAGTTCTACAGAAAGCCCCCCCTGAGCACTGTGCCACCCCCTCATCTTCACCCAATTAGCAAATTGTGTGGGTGCTGAAAAGGGCCAGCCTTCTGTTTTTCTGTGAGTTCTTGACAATCCTAAGCTTGTTCCCACTTCACCCCTTCCTGATTAGCCCTTCCGCCCCCACATCAATCCCAAACTTACCTGTCAAGAACCAAGAAACCCCTTTCAAGGTTGTCGGTTCTACCCAATGTTGCAGAGCTTGCTCCTTCAGGATCTCTAATATGACCAGAGCATCCTTTGTTACATGCTCAAGGGAGCAGTTCCTTTTCAGTTATAGAGTACCTTGAGGGGGGGGCAGACACTGACAGTATTTAGTGAGAGCTTAACAGAGCCACCAGGGAAGGTAGTTGAGAGGTGCTTTATCTTATCGGATGATCCAAAGGGAACCCCAGATGGACAGAGGTGCCCAGAGATGTTAGACAAGTCCATAAAAGGATTCCATTTGAGACCTTGAGATGTGAATAAGTCTTCTATATGCATATTGGAATTATGCATCTGGTGAGTTTATAATTCGAATATTTGATTGAAGACACACGAAGGATCACTATATCATACATTTAATACATAGACTTTGGCACTTTTTTCTGACACTAACCAGTCACCCATATATGCACTTTTATTACTGTTGTCTTGTTTATCTGATATCATTTATTAAATAGGTTTATGCTCATATTTATCTTCTTGAATATATTATTTCGGCACTATTTGCTTTTAGCGCTGCGCCTTTTTGATCTATTTGTGGACATCTGACCATCACACAACGGCTGGGTTCCCACACTTTTCTTTTGTGCGTTTTGGGGGGTTTCTGCTTGTTACACACAGTGCAGCTCTTCTACTTGAATGGGCTGCCCTACGTGTGACAAGTTCCCCAAAGAAGCTCCAAATCTGTTGTTGGAGCAGAGTGGGATGCGTTTTCTTCACTGCACATTTTGCTGCATTTGTAGAAATTTACAGATGTGAACAGGACCTCAAGCTAGACATACACTGATTGAGATGTGTCCAGTTCAGCAGGTACCAGACCAATGTTGATCAGTTTGTAGCCATCCTAAGCAGAATTCAAACATTTGATCAACTTCTGTCAAAGTTGGACCTGCTTGAAAACTTTTCATTGATCAGTGGCTGCCGTAATGGTCCTGCTGTCAGAATACAATGCTCAGGCACGGGGGTTTCCTCCATTCATCTCATTTGTGTGAATGGAGGAAACTGCCAGTTGTTTTTCACTGAGCCCACTAGCTGAACAAAAACCATCTATGTCCAGTTTTACTATATCTGGATACCCCTCCAAACTAAGGAGTTGAGTGAAGGGGATGCTTGCTAGTGCTGCAGCATACAAAGACACTATAGACAATTGTCCACTTGTTTGGAGTTCTATCCTTCATAAGGTGATTTTATAACGTTTGCAATATTATTATACAGGATTTATTATTATACAGGACAATATATATTATATACCAGATTTAAAGAATAATGATTTACACCTGTATAATTTGGTAACCATAATAGATTTTCTGTGACTCAAGTGCAGAATATTACATACAAAAGCTATTGAGTCACCTTAGGCCCTAGAGGGAATATACACAAATTCCGTGTTGCTGGGCGGTGACCAATAATTATGTTGAATGTAAGACATTTAGCCCCACAACAACAACAAAAAAAAACATCCTAGATACAATTGTACACTCCCTATCTTGTGACAACAGTTTGGGGAAGGTCCATTTCTATTCCAGCATGAAGCTTTTTTTTATATTTGAAGGTTTTTTGATGGTATTTAATAAAGATGTATATTAACTTTTAATTTACTGGTGCCGGTTAAGTCCCTTTCTATTGGGGGGTTTCTCCATATATCGCTTTCCATTCCAGCATGAATGTATTCCTGGATGCAAAAACAGCTCCTTAAAGACAAGATTTGATTTCGGAGGTTTGGTATGGAGGAACTCAAGTGGTCTACACGAATCCCTGGTTACCACCCAAAACGCACTCTCCACTCCTCACAAGACCTCCTTCTCTCTAGTTCCCTAGTCTCCTCCTCCCATGCCCGCCTCCAGGACTTCTCCAGGGCGTCACCATACTCTGGAACTCCCTAGCCCAATCCATCAGACTATCACCTACTCTCCTCTCCTTTCCAACCAGATCAGCCAACCAGAGCCCAGCCAGAGATCAGCCAATCAGAGTGCAGCATGAGATCAGC